GTCTCTCTCCTTGCCGAGTTCATCATGGCAGTCTCTCTTCCCTCTCCCTAGGTCTCTCTCTCCTTGCCGAGTTCATCATGGCAGTCTCTCTTCCCTCTCCCTAGGTCTCTCCTTGCCACGTGCATCATGGCAGTCTCTCTTCCCTCTCCCTAGGTCTCTCCTTGCCGAGTTCATCATGGCAGTCTCTCTTCCCTCTCCCTAGGTCTCTCTCTCCTTGCCACGTGCATCATGGCAGTCTCTCTTCCCTCTCCCTAGGTCTCTCCTTGCCGAGTTCATCATGGCAGTCTCTCTTCCCTCTCCCTAGGTCTCTCTCTCCTTGCCACGTTCATCATGGCAGTCTCTCTTCCCTCTCCCTAGGTCTCTCTCTCCTTGCCGAGTTCATCATGGCAGTCTCTCTTCCCTCTCCCTAGGTCTCTCTCCTTGCCACGTTCATCATGGCAGTCTCTCTTCCCTCTCCCTAGGTCTCTCTCTCCTTGCCGAGTTCATCATGGCAGTCTCTCTTCCCTCTCCCTAGGTCTCTCTCTCCTTGCCACGTTCATCATGGCAGTCTCTCTTCCCTCTCCCTAGGTCTCTCTCTCCTTGCCGAGTTCATCATGGCAGTCTCTCTTCCCTCTCCCTAGGTCTCTCTCTCCTTGCCGAGTTCATCATGGCAGTCTCTCTTCCCTCTCCCTAGGTCTCTCTCTTGACGAGTTCATCATGGCAGTCTCTCTTCCCTCTCCCTAGGTCTCTCTCCTTGCACGTGCCTCATGGCAGTCTCTCTTCCCTCTCCCTAGGTCTCTCCTTGCCGAGTTCATCATGGCAGTCTCTCTTCCCTCTCCCTAGGTCTCTCTCTCCTTGCCACGTCATCATGGCAGTCTCTCTTCCCTCTCCCTAGGTCTCTCTCTCCTTGCGAGTTCATCACGGCAGTCCTCTTCCCTCTCCCTAGGTCTCTCTCTCCTTGCCGAGTTCATCATGGCAGTCTCTCTTCCCTCTCCTAGGTCTCTCCTTGCCGAGTTCATCATGGCAGTCTCTCTTCCCTCTCCCTAGGTCTCTCCTTGCCACGTTCATCATGGCAGTCTCTCTTCCCTCTCCCTAGGTCTCTCTCTCCTTGCCGAGTTCATCATGGCAGTCTCTCTTCCCTCTCCCTAGGTCTCTCTCTCCTTGCCGAGTTCATCATGGCAGTCTCTCTTCCCTCTCCCTAGGTCTCTCCTTGCCGAGTTCATCATGGCAGTCTCTCTTCCCTCTCCCTAGGTCTCTCTCTCCTTGCCAAGTTCATCATGGCAGTCTCTCTTCCCTCTCCCTAGGTCTCTCTCTCCTTGCCGAGTTCATCATGGCAGTCTCTCTTCCCTCTCCCTAGGTCTCTCTCTCCTTGCCACGTGCATCATGGCAGTCTCTCTTCCCTCTCCCTAGGTCTCTCTCTCCTTGCCGAGTTCATCATGGCAGTCTCTCTTCCCTCTCCCTAGGTCTCTCCTTGCCGAGTTCATCATGGCAGTCTCTCTTCCCTCTCCCTAGGTCTCTCTCTCCTTGCCGAGTTCATCATGGCAGTCTCTCTTCCCTCTCCCTAGGTCTCTCCTTGCCACGTTCATCATGGCAGTCTCTCTTCCCTCTCCCTAGGTCTCTCCTTGCCACGTGCATCATGGCAGTCTCTCTTCCCTCTCCCTAGGTCTCTCTCTCCTTGCCACGTGCATCATGGCAGTCTCTCTTCCCTCTCCCTAGGTCTCTCTCTCCTTGCCGAGTTCGTCATCGCAGTGTCTCTTCCCTCTCCCTCGGTGTCTCTCTCCTTGCCAAGTTCATCATGGCAGTCTCTCTTCCCTCTCCCTAGGTCTCTCTCTCCTTGCCGAGTTCATCATGGCAGTCTCTCTTCCCTCTCCCTAGGTCTCTCCTTGCCGAGTTCATCATGGCAGTCTCTCTTCCCTCTCCTAGGTCTCTCCTTGCCGAGTTCATCATGGCAGTCTCTCTTCCCTCTCCCTAGGTCTCTCCTTGCCGAGTTCGTCATGGCAGTCTCTCTTCCCTCTCCCTAGGTCTCTCCTTGCCACGTGCATCATGGCAGTCTCTCTTCCCTCTCCCTAGGTCTCTCCTTGCCACGTGCATCATGGCAGTCTCTCTTCCCTCTCCCTAGGTCTCTCTCTCCTTGCCACGTGCATCATGGCAGTCTCTCTTCCCTCTCCCTAGGTCTCTCTCTCCTTGCCGAGTTCATCATGGCAGTCTCTCTTCCCTCTCCCTAGGTCTCTCTCTCCTTGCCGAGTTCATCATGGCAGTCTCTCTTCCCTCTCCCTCGGTGTCTCTCTCCTTGCCAAGTTCATCATGGCAGTCTCTCTTCCCTCTCCCTAGGGTCTCTCCTTGCCGAGTTCATCATGGCAGTCTCTCTTCCCTCTCCCTAGGTCTCTCCTTGCCGAGTTCATCATGGCAGTCTCTCTTCCCTCTCCCTAGGTCTCTCCTTGCCGAGTTCATCATGGCAGTCTCTCTTCCCTCTCCCTAGGTCTCTCCTTGCCGAGTTCGTCATGGCAGTCTCTCTTCCCTCTCCCTAGGTCTCTCCTTGCCACGTGCATCATGGCAGTCTCTCTTCCCTCTCCCTAGGTCTCTCCTTGCCACGTGCATCATGGCAGTCTCTCTTCCCTCTCCCTAGGTCTCTCTCTCCTTGCCACGTGCATCATGGCAGTCTCTCTTCCCTCTCCCTAGGTCTCTCTCTCCTTGCCGAGTTCATCATGGCAGTCTCTCTTCCCTCTCCCTAGGTCTCTCTCTCCTTGCCACGTTCATCATGGCAGTCTCTCTTCCCTCTCCCTAGGTCTCTCCTTGCCGAGTTCATCATGGCAGTCTCTCTTCCCTCTCCCTAGGTCTCTCTCTCCTTGCCACGTGCATCATGGCATTCTCTCTTCCCTCTCCCTAGGTCTCTCCTTGCCGAGTTCATCATGGCAGTCTCTCTTCCCTCTCCCTAGGTCTCTCTCTCCTTGCCACGTTCATCATGGCAGTCTCTCTTCCCTCTCCCTAGGTCTCTCTCTCCTTGCCGAGTTCATCATGGCAGTCTCTCTTCCCTCTCCCTAGGTCTCTCTCTCCTTGCCACGTTCATCATGGCAGTCTCTCTTCCCTCTCCCTAGGTCTCTCTCTCCTTGCCGAGTTCATCATGGCAGTCTCTCTTCCCTCTTTCTAGGTCTCTCTCTCCTTGCCGAGTTCATCATGGCAGTCTCTCTTCCCTCTCCCTAGGTCTCTCTCTCTTTGCCAAGTTCATCATGGCAGTCTCTCTTCCCTCTCCCTAGGTCTCTCTCTCCTTGCCGAGTTCATCATGGCAGTCTCTCTTCCCTCTCCTAGGTCTCTCCTTGCCGAGTTCATCATGGCAGTCTCTCTTCCCTCTCCCTAGGTCTCTCTCTCCTTGCCGAGTTCATCATGGCAGTCTCTCTTCCCTCTCCCTAGGTCTCTCCTTGCCACGTTCATCATGGCAGTCTCTCTTCCCTCTCCCTAGGTCTCTCCTTGCCACGTGCATCATGGCAGTCTCTCTTCCCTCTCCCTACGTCTCTCTCTCCTTGCCACGTGCATCATGGCAGTCTCTCTTCCCTCTCCCTAGGTCTCTCTCTTTTTGCCGAGTTCGTCATCGCAGTGTCTCTTCCCTCTCCCTCGGTGTCTCTCTCCTTGCCAAGTTCATCATGGCAGTCTCTCTTCCCTCTCCCTAGGTCTCTCTCTCCTTGCCGAGTTCATCATGGCAGTCTCTCTTCCCTCTTCCTAGGTCTCTCCTTGCCGAGTTCATCATGGCAGTCTCTCTTCCCTCTCCCTAGGTCTCTCCTTGCCGAGTTCATCATGGCAGTCTCTCTTCCCTCTCCCTAGGTCTCTCCTTGCCGAGTTCGTCATGGCAGTCTCTCTTCCCTCTCCCTAGGTCTCTCCTTGCCAAGTGCATCATGGCAGTCTCTCTTCCCTCTCCCTAGGTCTCTCCTTGCCACGTGCATCATGGCAGTCTCTCTTCCCTCTCCTAGGTCTCTCTCTCCTTGCCACGTGCATCATGGCAGTCTCTCTTCCCTCTCCCTAGGTCTCTCTCTCCTTGCCGAGTTCATCATGGCAGTCTCTCTTCCCTCTCCTAGGTCTCTCTCTCCTTGCCGAGTTCTTCATGGCAGTCTCTCTTCCCTCTCCCTCGGTGTCTCTCTCCTTGCCAAGTTCATCATGGCAGTCTCTCTTCCCTCTCCCTAGGTCTCTCCTTGCCGAGTTCATCATGGCAGTCTCTCTTCCCTCTCCCTAGGTCTCTCCTTGCCACGTTCATCATGGCAGTCTCTCTTCCCTCTCCCTAGGTCTCTCCTTGCCGAGTTCATCATGGCAGTCTCTCTTCCCTCTCCCTAGGTCTCTCCTTGCCGAGTTCGTCATGGCAGTCTCTCTTCCCTCTCCCTAGGTCTCTCCTTGCCACGTGCATCATGGCAGTCTCTCTTCCCTCTCCCTAGGTCTCTCTCTCCTTGCCACGTGCATCATGGCAGTCTCTCTTCCCTCTCCCTAGGTCTCTCTCTCCTTGCCGAGTTCATCATGGCAGTCTCTCTTCCCTCTCCCTAGGTCTCTCTCTCCTTGCCGAGTTCATCATGGCAGTCTCTCTTCCCTCTCCCTCGGTGTCTCTCTCCTTGCCAAGTTCATCATGGCAGTCTCTCTTCCCTCTCCCTAGGTCTCTCCTTGCCGAGTTCATCATGGCAGTCTCTCTTCCCTCTCCCTAGGTCTCTCTCTCCTTGCCACGTGCATCATGGCAGTCTCTCTTCCCTCTCCCTAGGTCTCTCTCTCCTTGCCGAGTTCGTCATGGCAGTCTCTCTTCCCTCTCCCTCGGTGTCTCTCTCCTTGCCACGTGCATCATGGCAGTCTCTCTTCCCTCTCCCTAGGTCTCTCTCTCCTTGCCGAGTTCATCATGGCAGTCTCTCTTCCCTCTCCCTAGGTCTCTCCTTGCCGAGTTCATCATGGCAGTCGTCTCTTCCCTCTCCCTAGGTCTCTCCTTGCCACGTTCATCATGGCAGTCTCTCTTCCCCTCTCCCTAGGTCTCTCCTTGCCGAGTTCATCATGGCAGTCTCTCTTCCCTCTCCCTAGGTCTCTCCTTGCCGAGTTCATCATGGCAGTCTCTCTTCCCTCTCCCTAGGTCTCCCTCTCCTTGCCACGTGCATCATGGCAGTCTCTCTTCCCTCTCCCTAGGTCTCTCCTTGCCGAGTTCGTCATGGCAGTCTCTCTTCCCTCTCCCTAGGTCTCTCCTTGCCGAGTTCATCATGGCAGTCTCTCTTCTCTCTCCCTAGGTCTCTCCTTGCCACGTTCATCATGGCAGTCTCTCTTCCCTCTCCCTAGGTCTCTCTCTCCTTGCCACGTGCATCATGGCAGTCTCTCTTCCCTCTCCCTAGGTCTCTCCTTGCCGAGTTCATCATGGCAGTCTCTCTTCCCTCTCCCTCGGTGTCTCTCTCTCTCCTTGCTGAGTTCGTCATGGCATTCTTTTCCCTCTCCCTAGGTCTCTCCTTGCCACGTGCATAATGGCAGTCTCTCTTCCCTCTCCCTCGGTGTCTCTCTCTCCTTGCCGAGTTCGTCATGGCATTGTTTTCCCTCTCCCTAGGTGTCTCTCTCCTTGCCTCTTTCTTTTTTTACCTCGTATCGCTTACCCCTTAATACTTTAGTGTTTATTGGCGAGGCGCAATGTCTCCTGCCTGTAATCCCAGCACTTTGGGAGGCCAAGGCAGGTGGATCACTTGAGGTCGGGAGTTGGAGACCAGCCTGGCCAATGTGGTGAAATCCCATCTCTACTAAAAATACAAAAATTAGCCGGCGGTGTTGACATGCACCTATAATCCCAGCTACTCAGGAGGCTGAGGCAAGAGAATCACTTGAACCCTGGAGGCAGATTTTGCAGTGAGCTGAGATAATGCAGCTGCACTCCAGCTTGGGCAACAGAGTCTCAAAAAAAACAAAAATACAAAACGGAAACCAGAAAACAAAAACAAACAAACAAAAATCCTTTAGGGTTTATTTCCTAAGAATAAGGATATTCTCATGTAACCACATACGCTAGCAATTCAGTAAATGTCACCTGGAGCCAGCACTCCACGTCATCTGCAGGTGCATTCTCACTTGGACAGTTTCTTTTCTTTCCTTTTTTTTCTTGGTCCAGGACGGCGTGCCAGATCACATGCTCTGTTTGGTAATCACGTGGCTTTATTCTTTAATCTGCTGCAGTTCTTCAGCCTGTCTCTCTCTCTTTTTTTTTCTTTGAGACAGAGTTTCGCTCTTGTCACCCAGGCTGGAGTGCAATGGCGCGATCTCAGCTCACCGCAACCTCCGACTCCTGGGTTCAGGCAATTCTCCTGCCTCAGCCTCCCGAGTAGCTGGGATTACAGGCACGGGCCACCATGCCCAGCTAATTTTTTGTATTTTTAGTAGAGATGGGGTTTCACCATGTTGACCAGGATGGTCTCGATCTCTTGACCTTCTGATCCACCCACCTCGGCCTCCCAAGGTGCTGGGATTACAGGCGTGAGCCACCGCGCCCGGCCTGTGTCTCTTTAATGGCAGTCATGTTTTGGTAATACCAGCCAGTGTATTAAAGAATGCCCCTCAGTTTGGTTTGGTCTGAGATTTGGTCGGGATTGAATTCACATTACGTGTTTCTGGCTGCAGGGCTCTGTAAACACATCCTTCAGATATCAGACGCAGAGGCGGCTGTCAGCTTGTCCTTATTGGCAATGTTAATTTTGGTCCTTGATAAGGTGGTTCCTCCTCTGAATAGTCACTGATTGTCCACGTCCTTGGGTGTATTGTGGGTGACCTGCTGAGGCTGAGAATGCCCTGTCTATTCACAAAGCTGCCACCTGCCCCAGGCTGGCCTCACTGGCACCAAGCCACATTTGCACTCAGTTGGGTCAACCTTTTGGGCAATGGTTCCCTACGCTAATTTTCCAACTCCATCACTCCCTACGGCATTCTGTGAAGAGGGCCACTTTCCTCCCATTGTTTACTCACCTTGGCTTCACGGATTCTTCGTTTGGTAACGTTATTCTGTTTCTTTTCTTTTTTTTTTTTTTTGAGATGGAGTTTCGCTCTTGTTACTCAGGCTGGAGTGCAATGGCGCGATCTCGGCTCACAGCAACCTCCGCCTCCTGGGTTCGGGCAATTCTCCTGCCTCAGCCTCCTGAGTAGCTGGGATTACAAGCACGCGCCACCATGCCCAGCTAATTTTTTGTATTTTTAGTAGAGATGGGGTTTCACCATGTTGACCAGGATGGTCTCGATCTCTTGACCTCGTGATCCACCTGCCTCGGCCTCCCAAAGTGCTGGGATTACAGGCTTGAGCCACCGCGCCTGGCCACATTATTCTGTATCTAGTGGGTTACGGTTGATTGTTCTGACAGTTGTTGCTGCCCACATTGTTCCAGGTTTGCCGTGGGGGTCTGTCCAGGTGGTTCCAGCATCCTTCTCTGAACCAGTCCTTGTTTTGAGTCCTTATTTTCTATGCAGCGGATGCACCTTCTCTGCCAGGCCACTGGATCCAGCCCTTGCTCCAAGGATTCTGCTTCTTCTTAGTGAGGAATGGGATTTAGAAGTCAAGATGTGTGTGAGATGTGCTCGTTGTTCACGGGCATCAGAACCTCCAGAGCCTTCTACCTCCACTGCAACCGGCGCCATGGCACTTCCCTGCCTGCCCCACTCCTGCACCTCCAAATTGCACGGTGATGGCGGCAGCTCACAGCAGCCAAGGCAGCATCACACGTGACTCACACACAGCACAGCACAGAGCAGGTTTGGAACAGCTCCACCCGCAGGACCACAGAAAACAAACCCACTGAGAGTTCCAGACCTGTCTGCAGCGTTTTCTTTCTTCTGAGGGTATGTGGTCAAGGTGCTGTCTTCAAAATTTACTTAAATTTGTTCTTTCCCAAGTCTCCTTCTGACGCTGGCTAATAATCTGAAAGACAGTTGCGTTCCGTTTTTGCAATTCTGTTGTCTCATTTTCCCCACTTCTCGATAATTTTATTATTTGAATATGTAAAGCGTCATGATTTCAAAAGTTAAAACTATTGCAAAAGCTGCGCTCAGAGAACTGTCATCTCCTCTCTGTTTCTTCTGTCCTGTTTTCTCCAAAAGGAACCATTTCACTTATTTTAACAGCTTTCCCGAACTATAATTCACACATTATAAAATTCACCCGTTTAAAGTGTATCTAGTGGTTTTTAGCACTCATAGAATTGGGAAACCGCCACAATCAATATTAGAACATTTTCATCAACTAAAAAAAAACCTGTACCCATTAGTACCTATTCCCCATTCCCTCACACTCCTGCCGCCTCCGTCCTCCTCCCTGGCCTTAGGCAACGGCTAATCTTTTTGTCTCTGTAGAGTTGCCAGTTCTGGACGTTTCCTGTGAGGGAATCATTGAATACGTGGCCTCGTGCACCTGGCTTCTTTCACACAGCGTCACGTTGCCGAGGCTCGTCGGTGTGGCGCGCACAGCAGCTCCTCCCTTTTTATCGCCACCTAACTCCGTCGTATGGACGGGCCACATTTTATGCAGCTCTCCATCCGCTGACGGCCTTTTGAGTTGTTTCCACTTTTTGGCTATTACGAACAATTCTGTCATGAGCGTCATGTGCACGTTTTTGTGGGGACATATAGTGTCCCCTGTCTTATGTATTCCACAGGGAATGGAACTGCTGGGTCCCACGTTCCCTCGATGTTTAGAGGCTGAGGATCTGCCAGGCCGTTTCCCGAAGCACGTGCACGCTTCGCTGCCTTATGTTCCCTTTAGTGCGTGAGGGTTCCGGGCTCTGCTCATCCTTGGCAGCCCCTGTTGCTGTCCGTCTGCGTCCTCATTGCCACGCCAGTGGGTGTGGGATACTGAGTGTGGCTTGATTCCCGTTTTCCTGATGGCTGATGAGGCTGCATGTCCTCACTTGTGCCTGGCCCCTCCGTATGTCTCCTCAGATCAATGCCTCTTCAGATCCTTTGTCTGTTAGGCCCAGTGGGGTAATTCTTTACTGGGGAGTAGGAAGAGTTCTGGATCTACTCTGCACGCACACCATCTAGGAGACACCGGCCTGCACAGACTTATTCCCACTCTTGGGCTTGTCTTTTCACTCTCTTGATGTTTCTGGAAGTTTCCATGTTCCTTTTGTTCTTTGTGCTTTTCATATCATGTCACAAAAGGCTTTCCGTAATCTGACACTGCAAAGATTGACACACATATTTTTTCTGAGACTTTTATAGTCTCACCTTTCACAGTTCGGTCTTCGGTCCATTTCTAGTTTATTTTTCACCTTAGGTCACTTAGCCTGTTCTAGGCTGTCTTATACATGGAATCGTACAGGATTCTTTTCTTTATTTTTGAGACAGATTCTTGCACAGGTGCCCAGGCTAGAGTGCAGTGGTGTGATCTTGGCTCTTTACAACCACCATCTCCTGGGTTCAAGCAATTTTCCCATCTCAGCCTCCCGAGTAGCTGGGATTATAGGCACCCGCCATCACGCCCAGCTAACTTTTGTATTTTAGTAGAGATGGGGTTTCACCATGTTGGCCAGGCTGGTCTTGGTCTCCTGACCTCAGGTGATCCGCCCAGCTCGGCCTCCCAAAGTCCTGGGATGATAGGCGTGAGCCACCACATCCGGCCCGTGCAGTATTTTTTTTTTTTTTTTTACAAAAATTGTTGTTACGGTTTCAGCATTTATAGGTTTGAAAAATACTTGTCTTTCATCTATATTTCCTAAATAACGTACCGTTTTTAAAAATATTAGCAAATCTCTCTATCTGCAGGGCCTTTTGTTCTATATGTTGTTTATTTGTATCTTTTTGTTGTTTGTTTTTCTTTGAGATGGATCTTGGTCTGTCGCCTGGCCGGAGTGCAGTGGTGTGATCTCAGCTCACTGCAACCTCGGACTCCCTGATTCAAGAGTTTCTCCTGCCTCAGCCTCCCGAGTAGCTGGGATTACAGGTGCCCGACACCATGCCCAGCTAATTTTTTGTTTGTTTGTTTGTTTTTGCATTTTACGTTTTGGGGTACATGTGCAGAACATGCAAGATAGTTGCTTAGGTACACACATTGCAGTGTAATTTGCTGTCTTCCTCCCCTTCACCCACATCTGGCATTTCTCCCCAGGCTATCCCTCCCCAGCTCCCCCGCCCTGCTGTCCCTCCCCTATTCCACCCAATAGACCCCAGTGTGTAGTGCTCCCCTCCCTGTGTCCATGAGTTCTCATTGTTCATCACACACCTATGAGTGAGAATATGTGGTATTTCATTTTCTGTTCTTGTGTCAGTTTGCTGAGAATGATGTTCTCCAGATTCGTCCATGTCCCTACAAAGGACACGCGCTCATCGTTTTTGATGGCTGCATAATATTCCATGATGTATATGTGCCACATTTTTCCAGTCCAGTTTTTTGTATTTTTATTAGAGACGGGGTTTCACCATGTTGGCCAGGATGGTCTCGACCTCTTCACCTTGTGATCCACCCGCCTCGGCCTCACACAGTGCTGGGATTACAGGCGTGAGCCACCGCACCCGGCCCTTACTTGTGTTTTGATTTGATTGGTCTTGTTCCAGCTCTGTTTGTTCTATTAATCTTTCTAAGCAGTCGGGGTTTTTTGGTTACTCTTTTTTCTGATAACTGATTGTTTCTTTCCTTATATTCATTATTTCCTTTCTTCTCGTTTTCAGTTTATTCTGTTTTTTCTTTTTTCAGAATTTTTATATTGAATACATTGTTTCATTTTGAAGTTTTCTTGCTTCCTGTAAATACATTTGAAATTATAAAGTTTCTTTTAACATTGTCCCACAAAGTTTGACATTTTTGTTTTTATTTTCGTTTGGTTCTGAATCTTTTGTAACCCTCTTCTGATCTACTTTTAAACCCAGGGGCTATTTAGTAATGTTATTTTCTTTCCAAAAATGTGGTATTTTAAAAATTCTATTCTTTTGTTATTTATTTCAAAATTTATTATAGTATTATATTAGAGAGGACATGCTCTGTTGCTTCAGAGTTTATTGTGTTTCTTTCTTGCCAAATACATTTTTCATGATATCCGATCAAATTGTATAAATATTCTATTCATTTTTAAAAGTATAGTCTCCATTGGACACAGAGTTCTATGTAAATATCATATAATTTAGAATTTGTATATTTCAAACCTTCGATGTTTCTGCTATTTTTTATGTTTTAAGAAATATCTAATATAATTGCCAACTTCTATTTTTCTCTGTCTAGATGTATCAGTTTTTGCTTTTCTAAAGAAACGGTACTCAGTACAGTAAGCTCATGACGGTTGCACCCTGTGTACTGTCTCCTCTTGCAAGCAGTTCTCATCATGCTGGTCTTCGGTGGCTTCTTTGCCTTGGACTTTGCAGATAGTAGGGCTGCTGTCTACTTTTATGTGGATTCAAATTTGCCAAGCACTTCTTTTTCTATTTATTTTAAACATTTTAGTTTCCTTTGCTTTTAAGTGTGCTTCTCTTAGCAAACCGTTTATTCCTTCTTTATAAATCCAAGCTCTGTGTTGGTGTTTTTAGCTCAGTAAGTGTCTGTGGTTGCATCGGGAGTTTACTTCTGCCTCCTTCGTTCACAGTTGGCTTTTACATTCCTTCCTGTTCCCCCGTTTCTTCTCTAGTTTTTAATGGTGGTTACCATTAAAACCATGAGAACCACATCAATGTGTGTCTAATCCTATTGATTTCCTGAGCAGATTTATATTAAGTCTTCAGACTCCCGTGTTGGTTCTGCTTAGATATTTACGTTTGCACTGTTGTAAATGTACATCGTCTTCTCTCCTCATTTTGGTCCTGGCATTTTTAGCCAACAGTAGACTTTACTAAAATCTATTTGATCTAAAGCTTTTTATACCCATAGTTCCTATATCTCACACAACAGCCTTCTGGATTTATTTATCTTCTAATTTCCTTGAAGAACATTTTCAAAGTGGGTCTTTTCAAAGTGGATCTTCTGAGGCCTTTTATATTGGAAGATAATTTGATCTGTGCTCATACGCCAGTGACAGTTGAGCTGGCTGTAAAATTCTCTGTCAAATTCTTTTCCTTCAGGTCTTTAAAACTATTACTCCAGGGTCTTCTGGCACCCAGTGTGGCAGCTGGAAACTCTGAAACCAAACTTATTCTTACTCTTTTGTAGGTGATCTGCTCTTCATAGAAGTTTTGGAATTTTCTCTGATGCTCTTGAATTTCACTGTCAGTTACATGTAAGTTTCCCATCCAACCTATTTGGTGCTCTCCAAGCCGTTTCAATTTGAGAGCTTTCATCTTTGTTTAACTTTCCTCATTTTAACCTTTGAATATTTTTTTCTCCATTTTTATTTTTCTCTTTGTTCCTGGAACTCCATTGTGTGTACATTGCCACTTCTTCAATCCCCTTAGTCGCCTTTAGCTGTTGCTTCCCACATTCTCTCTTTTCCTGCTACCTTTTTGGAGAGCTGCCTCCAGCTCACCCATCTCTGGCTGCACTTGGCCCCATCATGTTTCTCATTTCAGTTCTTCCGTTGGGTGCTAGACATTCCTTCTTCCCTGCTTCATGTCTCTGCTATCTGCCCTTATCTCTTTGAATATGTTTATTTGTATAAATTATTGTGCATCTGTTGTAAAACTTTGAACAGGTTCCAAGCTCCTCAGGAGGCTGAGGCAGGAGAATCACTTGAACCCAGGAGGCAAAGGTTGCAGTGAGCCAAGATTGCACCACTACACTCCAGCCTGGGTGGCCGAGCGAGACTCCATCTCCAAAAAGTAAATAAAATAAAATAAGTAAAACTTTGAACAGTATCCTCAGCTCAACTTGTTTGTTTTTCAGAAATTGCAGCCCTCAGGTATTAGCTACTTGGAGCGAGTGTGTCCCACTAAGGTATAAGACACTGGCCTGAGAAGGCCCAGGTTGGGTCTCCCCCAGAACTGGAATTGGGAAGGGGAAGAATCTGGGCTAACCACTCCATTTGCTCCAGCCCTACCTCCAGCATCTAGGGGCAGGGAGTTGCAGTCAGACTCTTAAAAACACACAGCTGAAAGTGCAGTGCGGTGAGGCGTCCTCTGAGGACCAGACAGGTGGAGACCTGCCTGCTGTGCTGGGGACGGGTAAGGAAGGCAGGTGGAGCCATCTCCCCGCAGCCTGGAGCCTCCCCTTTGGTGCTCCCACTCACAAGATTGCTGCTTTTGCCGCTGACTGGTAGGAACTCCAGGCCGCTTCTCCAGCTGTGCCTCAGTTCTCCTTGTCTTTTTCCTTCCTAACTTCCTCAGTCCCAGGCTGGAGGCTCCAGTCTGCAAATCAGAGGCCTCCACACCCACGTCACGCTCCACACCTTCCCATTGGTGTGGTTCTGTTTGCAGTCTGGACACGTGAAATCTCTCTGTCCTCCTGGAGTAGTTGTTGGCACAGTGTGGCTGTTGCGGAACCTGCCCAGGTGTCTCCCACGCATTACAGATCCCAAGACACTCCTGGGTCCCAGCCTCCCAGAGCTGGAGGAGCGGGACCCCTTCTGCCCTCCCAGGCTTCCTCCCGGGGTCAGGAAGTCGCATCTGCCTGAGCTCTCACTGCTGTCTCTCCTCTCTCCTCTTTCTCTCTTCCTGTCCGCTAGCTTTTATGGAGGAATTCAGAGGGAACATCCCGGTCTGCTTCCCATCACATCCACCCAGCCCCCAGCCTTGAGGCTCTGCACTGTCTCCCGTCCGGTGCCTGTCCAAAGCCGCTTCCACCCAGGACCATCGCCCCTTCACATTCAGGGGTACTGGTCCGTCTCTGCCATGCTGAGAGCTGCTGCATGAAAAGACCCCTGAATCTCATCCCCTCCAGCACTACCTCTTTTTCTCTTTTTAGAGAAACCACCTAGAAGGACTTCCTACACACACTGTTACCCCCTCCTCTTTCCTGTTCTCCTCAGGCCCACTGCTCACTACAGTGCCTTCTGCCCCCACAGTCACCCCTACCAGGGTGCCCCCAGCAGCATTCGCTCCACCAACCCCTCCTCCCGAAGTGCTTTTTTGGGGGGGATCCTGGAGCCCGATCCTGGTCCCCCTCTCACCATCCTAACTTCCTCCTGTCTTTCTTCTCCAGCTATAGGCTCTTCCCAGGCGAAGTCACCTGTAAATCACATCCATATCCCAGAGGCTCCCAAAATCTCACCTCCAGCCCAGACCCGAATACTGGGTCAGCTGACATCTTATCCAAGGCATCACACGCTTTCTCCAGCCTCGGACCACCCACTCCAGGGCTTTGCTTCCCACCCCCGCCCCCAGCCCAACAAGGTGCTCTTCCTCCTGTTACCTCCATCTCGGTACAGGGGGCTGCTCTGCTTCCAGTTGTTGAAGTCAGAACTCTTGGGATTTTTGTTGATTCCTCTTTCTCTTCAAACCCGCATCCCATCCAGGGCCAATCCCGTTGACCTCGGCTGTTCGTAATAAAGCCCTGTGCCCTCTCCCTTCTCTGGAAGTTTGTGGAGCGTTCATGTGCCCATCACTAATTCGACCCCAGAGTCTCCACTAGAGACAGGAGAGTCCTCTGCACAGGCTGACTTAACAGTGGGAGTCACAGCGGTTCCATGGGTGGGAGACCGGCATCTCCGAGCATTTGAATGGGCGCTTTTCTCTGCTGAAGTTCTTCTGCCCATTCAGTGTCTCCTCTGACCACACAGTTTGGTTTTGCCTCTCTCTCCATGTCGAAGGCTTCCTTGTGTCTGGTGTCTTTGAGTATTTTTCAGCATGAGGCACTGAGAAGGCGTGTGGAACCCCAGGGGTCTGTGTGTGGGGTGGCGTAAGGAGGTTTGCCTGTGGGACGCGGGATGACTAGGGAGCCTCGTGGGTCTCATATTCAGGAACCCATGAATCACGCAGGTTTTTCTCATGGGTGTGTGTTTCCCTGAAAGGAATTCTGGGGTCCCTGGGGTGTGGGGCGCAAAGATCTGTAATTCTGTCCCCTGAAGTGTGGGATGGAAGGATCTGTAATTCGGCTGCCACACTCTTGGATCCAAGTAGGCAGAGGTCACTGTCGCTTCCCGTCCTGCCTCCTGCTTCCCGTTCCTACCTTCAGATCTCCATGACAGTGTCTTCTGGGCAATTCCTCCTGGGCCCTCCCAGCTCACAGGGATCCCACCTGCCCTCCGGGGTGTGGAGCAGGACCTGGGGACCCGGTGCCTCCTGCTTTTAGCCTAGCCTGATGCTCCCTTTTGAGGTGCTGAGGCTTCCCTGGCTCTCCCTGTGGCTCTAGTAGGCTCCTGTGATTGGTCTCTCGTGTGTCCGTCCATCCGACATCTGTGCATCTGCCTCCAGTGCGCAGACCTGGCTGTGGCCTCTGCCTTTCACTGTCTTGGCCCAGGAACATTTTTTCTTCTCTTTTTCTTCTCCTTCTCCTCCTTTCTTCCTCTTCTTCTTTATAAATAGAGACGGGGTATCACTATGTTGCCCAGGCTGGCCTTGAGTCCCTGGCCTTGAGCAGCCCTTTTGTCTCGGCCTCCCGAAGTGCTGGGATGACAGGCGTGAGCACCACACCCAGCCTTGCCTTCTATCTTCTCTCTCCACTTTAGCCAGATTTCAGCAGGAAATGGACGGACGTCGGTGCTCTGTCTGCCCATTGGACCAGGAGCCCGTGCGTCTGATCTAAACAACCCTCATCTTGCCTTTGTTAGGTTTTCTGCTTGGTTTCCTTCATAAAATTGATGTCTCAACTCTAATATTTTATGTTCTTCTCACAGACAACTGTGATCCACTAATCAATTACCTAATTGTCCTAAACCCAATCTTTTAGTAAAATCTGATTTCTTGGGGACTGCAGTAACAAGCTCGTGAGAAAGTTCCTGCTTGGATGAGGCCAAGAGCGTGGGAGTGAGTTACAGGCTCCCAGAAGTGGGAAGTATTTTGGGTTTAGGCCGTAAAGAATTCCCTATAAAAATAGCTGAACAGATTGGGCTCCTCTCGCTGTGGGACTATCTTGGAACATGAGGTGAGGTTTTGGGTTGGCTTGCAGATAAAATCAAACCAATTTCCCAATGAGGGAATGGGCTGTGGTTAGGATGGGCTGCGTGGGGGTTCCGGGGCGCCGCAGGGTCACACAGCTATCTGCTGTACAGCCATTGACTAAATGTACGGTTCGTGAATTCTTCTGCGTGTATGTTTTATTTCACAATAAAATGTCATCTTTTTAAACAACTAAGCAAAGTTGAGAACCATGCAGGGTAATTTCCTTGGAAATACGCTTTGGCAGTTATTTAATTGGGCAAGTGGAAAAGTACTTTGTATGAAGTCGGTTTTACATATCATAAAAATGCCACGTGCTGAGCCGTGCAGGAAGGGAAAGTGTCTAGATAAGGACAGTCATTTGCTCTTCCCGATAGGCCATCCGCTACTCTCTTATCTGGAAGCACTCTGGCATGCCCGATGACTGGTATTTTGATAGATTAGCGAGTATTTACATGTCTCAAACAGGCGAGTTTAAAACCACAAAGTCAAGGGTATTTTAAAACCTTGACTTCAGGTCTTAACAATTTATCTTCTCATTTCTTCATTCTGGTCTGGCTGCTTTGCATGTGGCTGTTTCTCTCCCGTCTCTTGTTGCCTGGCTTACAGGAGAGGTGGGTGACGGGGACACAGGAGTCGAGAACGCTCAGGCCTCTGACAGCCGCTCTGTGCAGACCAGTCCTGCAGCCACGCGCAGGAAATGCCACCAGAGCAGGACACGTCTGCTACCCTCCCGGAAGTGACGAAACCGCCTTTCAGAAATTACAACAGTAAGAAAATGATGACGTTGAAGGAGACCTGACCTAAGCAACTCTTGCCTCTGACCTCCAAGCTGCTCTTTATCATTGCTGGGCTTGGGCCAAAATAACCTTGGGTGGAGGGGTCCCAAGAAACCCCTGAAATGACAGAGCTCAAGTTTGATGGGCCAGAAAGACTGAGTGAGGAGGGGCAATGCAGTGGCTGGTGATGGCCGGGAGCCACCTCTGCAGCCACACCCAGTGGATCCTCCCCTCCCTTGGCCACAGCCACATCTGATAACTCCTACCCCTGCATCAGCCACTGGAGTGCTTCCGGTGGAACCACAGGCTTTTGTGAAAGGAAAATACATCTTGGGACCCCAAGTCACTAAGCCAAAGGGAAGAGTCAGGCTGGGAACTGCCGATTCAGGCGGGGCACAGTGGCTCACACCTGTAATACCAGCACTCTAGGAGGCTGAGGCAGGAAGATGGTTTGAGTCTGGGAGTTTGAGACCATCTCAGGCAATGTAGAAGATCCTCTCCAAAAAATAAGAAAAAAATGCAGATTCTCTAAACCAGCCTAACGCACAAGTGACTATTCCTCTACCCCCTTTCACATGTAAATTGTGTATTTGATGAAAGAAAGAAAGGCTAGCTGGAGACTCAGAAGAAGGCACCTGTTTGTCTCTTATCTGCCTGTGACCTGGAAGCGCCACTTGGAGTTGTCCCGCCTTTCCAGACCAAACCAATGTGCATCTTACACGTACTGATTGATGTCTCATGTCTCCCTAAAATGTATCAAACTGAGCTGTGCCCCGACCACCTTGGGCACATGTCATCAGGACCTCCCAAGGCTGTGTCAGGGGCACATCATTAACCCTGGCAAATGATGTGGTTAGGCTTCGTGTCCCCACCCAAATGTCATCTTGAATTGCAGTCCCCAGGTGTCGAGGGACAGACCTGGCGAGAGATGAGCCAATCATGGCATGTGGTTTTCCCCATGCTGTTCTCATGATAGTGAGTAAGTCTCGTGAGCACTAAGATCTGATGGTTCTATGAAGGCAGTTGCCCCGGGCTCTCCTGCCACCTTATGAAGAAGGTCCTTGCTTCCCTGCCATATGGAACTGTGAGTCGATTAAACCATTTTCCTTTATAAATTACCCAGCCTCGGGTAGTTCTTTATAGCAGTGTGAAAATGAACGAATACAGTGAAATGAACTTTCTAAATCGATGGAGTATCTGAGATACTTTTGAGTTCACACTTTTATCCGTGGTAAATGTCATATTTTTAAGCTTCCCTGTGGAGGTGGGATCTTTTGGAGTGATGATTTATTTTTCTACAATGCGTATTTTTTTTCTTTTTTTTGAGACAGAGTTTCTCTCTTGTTACCCAGGCTGGAGTGCAATGGCGCGATCTCGGCTCACCGCAACCTCCGCCTCCTGGGTTCAAGTGATTCTCCTGCCTCAGCCTCCCCAGTAGCTGGGACCACAGGTGCGCACCACCGTGCCCAGCTAATTTTTTGTATTTTTAGTAGAGATGGGGTTTCACCATGTTGACCAGGATGGTCTCGATCTCTTGCCCTTGTGATCCACCCGCCTCGGCCTCCCAAAGCGCTGGGATTATAGGCGTGAGCCACCGCGCCAGGCCTGCAATGCATATTTTATGGTCTGTGTACGTTTTCCTCTGCCGGCATTTACTATGATTGTTTTAGAATCGGGTGGATTTCACCTTCTGTCAGTAACTTCCTTTGCAGAGTGTTCCTGCTCTCTGGCATGACTGTTCTTTGTAACTGCATCCTACCTGTTCTGGACTGCATGAGAAAATGGCGGGGCCTCCATCGTCATCAGCTCTGCCTCTTTGCACAGTTTGGTACAGGCTTCAAGGTTTCAGGCCTTAAGTTTTGCAAATCACTGCTCAGAAAAACCGAAGAGAGCAGGCCCATTTATGTTCATTTTAAACACTTGACACGGGGAAGATGTCGTTTTACAAGGGCAAACGTTTATTTTAGTCATGCTGATAGGTTACTGTTAGTGCTAATTTAAAAAGACAGAGCTTGTAGAAATATGCCTAGCAGGTTCATGTGCATTTCTTGCAAGTTCAGCCATGAGTAAAATGGACTTGTACATATTGATGCTTCTTATCTATTAGAGAAATCCATTCATTGTTTTAATCCGTTCATTGTAAAAAGTATTAGTTTTGGAAATACAGAGTATTTCCAAATACAGAGGGAAACACACCATGTGTTAGCATCTTGGTAAATTTCCTTCCAGTCGGTTCTCCTATGTGTCTGCTCCAGGCCACACACTAGCAGCGTTTTCTTTGTTATTCACACCTTGCATAACTTACACACATGCCAAAGGTACGTTTTATTCCCATCTTTGCTAGTTTTAGGTGCTGCTGGGAGACATGGGAGGAGGGCCGTGGCATGGCCACGACTGGGCGGGAAAAACGAGCCTGCTTCTCGGCTGTGGACCCAGCTGTCTCCGGGGTTTTCTATGGGGCTGATTTTCACATGAAACTGTTAATTTGGTCTAGGACCACTCCAGAGTTTTGATTTTTATTTCAACAGCATACCCTCCCCACCCTGCACCCAGATAACCCTATAACTCCCAGTCTCTCAATACCTGCAAAAGGGAGGTTTTGAAGTGGAGGCTCCCTCATGTCCTACCCTCTAAGCGTTCTCAGTAATGTTTGTATCAGTGGATTTTCTGAATCTTTCACAACTAGAAATTCTCTCTCTCCACACAAAATATATCCTATATATATTCATAAAAATGAATACATATATTCATTTTATATACAAATATATATAAATGAGTTTACATTCATAAAAATTCATGTGTATATATGTATATATATATATATATATATATAGTCATAAAATGTATAAACAAAAATTAAAAGTTCATGCAAAAAGGGGCTGGCCGTGGTGGCTCATGCCTGTAATATAAGGACTCAACCCACCCTTGCTGCTTTGGAGTGGAGGAAGGGGCTGCAATCCCAGGAGTGAGGAAGGTGAAGACAGGGCTTCTCCTTGGAGCCTCCAGCTCCGAGAGCCCTGCTGGGTTCAGACCTGCAGGTACAGAAGTCCCAGTCAGAAAACGTGTGTTGTTTTAAGACTAAATTTGTAGCTGGGTGCACTGGCTCACATCTGTAATCCCAGCACTTTGGAAGGCCACAGCTGGAGGATCTCTCAAGCCCAGGAATTCAAGACCAGCCTGGGCAACATAGTGGGACCTCATCTCTACTAAAAATAAATTAGCCAGATGTGGTGGAGCACACCTGTGGTCCCAGCAACTTGGAAGGCTGAGGTGGGAGAACTGCTTGAGCCCAGCAGGTTGAGGCTGCAGTGAGCCATGTCCAGCCTTGGTGACAGAGAAAGACCCTATCTCAAACAAACAAACAAACAAACAACCCAAGTTTGTGGTAATTGTTAAGGGAGCAGTAACAAACTAACATAGGCATGAAGAGGAGTCCGTATCTTTATGGGCAGCGGAGAGTGAAACTTAGGACAAGTCCTAAGCAGCTCCATGGAAATACATTTGAAATCTCAGAATGGATGCACACATTTCGCAAACACAGAACTCCCCAGTACTGGCTGAAGAAAGAGGCAAGACGTGAACGCTCGATAACTGTTTGAATAAATAAAATTCTTTCAGTAAGAAAACAAAAGTGACAGGTGCTTTTATGAGCCAGTTCTACAAAAAATTTAAGGAAGAGGAAATATAAAATTTAAACAGACTCTTCCAGAGAGTAGCAAGAACTCACATATTTGATGAGGTCAGTTTCAGCTTGGTGAGAACAGTATGAGAGATAGAAATTGCAGAAATCTCACTCAGGAACCGAGATGGGAAAAAATAACTTCCGAAAGTTAGCCAGTCAAATACAGTAATTCTTTCAAAAATCTATTACCTTGAATCTCCTCATTACCACCTAAAGTTAAAAAAAAAAGTATATGTTTATTCAATAACTGGAGAAAAGGCATTTGATAAAAATCAAACTCCATTAATGATAAAACCTCCTGGACTGGGCATGGTGGCTCACCCCTGTAATCCCAGCACTTTGGGAGGCCGAGGCGGGCGGATCACCTGATGTCGAGAGTTTGAAACCAGCCTGACCAACATGAAGAAACTCCGTCTCTATTAAAAATACAAACTTGGGAGCTGCAGTGGCTCAGGCCAGTTGTCCTGGAGCTTGAGGAGGTGAGGCTATGCGTTGGAGGCCAGCCTGGGCAACATAACAACCTGTCATTCATTTAAAAAAAAGAAAAAGAAAAATACAAACTTACTTGGGTGTGGGTGTGCATGCCTGTAGTCCCAGCTACTTGGGAGGCTGAGGCAGGAGAATCGCTTGAATCAGGGAGGCAGAGGGTGCAGTGGGCTGAGATTGTGCCATTGCACCCCAGCCTGGGCAGCAAGAGGGAAACTCCATCTCAAAAATAAATAAACAAAAAATAAAACCTCCTGGCATGTTAGAAATGGAAAGGAACTCCCTTAATCTGATAAAGGGTATTTACACTCATATCAGATAGGCAAAAATTAACTCAGAACACTGAGCCCAGTCAGTAGAAATTTAAACAGTTTCAACTCTTTGGAAAACACCTGGTATCGTCTGGGGAAACTGACGATGCGGAGACACCAGCGGCAGCAAATCCTCTCTCAGACACACGCCCCGCACAATGCGTAAGTGCACGATAAACATCTGTGCGAACGTTCCCGTCAGTGTTGCCTGCGGTGGCCCTAAACCATGAATGACAGAAATGTCCAGCGGCATGGCATGTGCATGACTTAATTACTGCAGAGGAGTGAAAGGGACTTACAGTGAACAGCAGAGATAGCCTCAGAGACATGCACCTCGTGTGATGCCAGTCGTATGAGGGACCAAGAACGTGCCATGCAGCCAGTTGCAATGGCTCTGCCCTATAGCCCCAGCACTTTGGGAGGCTGAGGTGGGTGAATGGCTTCAGCACGAGAATTCAAGGCCAACCTGGGCCACAGGGCGAAACCCCGTCTCTACAGACATTGGCTGGGCGTGGGGGTGCACGCCCGAAGTCCCAGTTACTTGGAAGGCTGAGGTGGGGGGAGTCGAGGCTGCAGTGAGCTGTGGTACCACCACTGCACTCCAGCCTGGGCAACAGAGTGAGACCTCCTTGTCTCAAAAACAAATGAAAACCAAAAAGAACATGCAAATCTAAACAAAAATGAGAAAAACATGCAGATGCAGGCTAGGTTGAGACACGGATTAGAGCAAGGGATGATAAACCCCCGATTTAGGATACTCCAGGTCCCACCGGGGGTGGAGGAAGGGGTGCACATATCTGCGTGTGTGCTGCGGGCACGACTCTCAGTCTGCGTGTGTGCTGCGGGCACGACTCTCAGTCCAGGTTCATGCCTGGCCAGCTATTGTGTCTTTGTACAGATGTAGACTCACTATGTTGCCCAGGTTGGGCTCAGGCAGTCTGCCCACCGCAGCCTCCCGAAGTGCTGAAATTACAGGCGTGAGCCACCAACCGAGCCCGGCCCGGATGCACGTCTGACTCTAGCAGGGTGCTGCTGCTTATAAATACTAAGATACACTGATCTGTTTTCAGAAGAGGAAATGCTCAGGAGGATTTAGAGTTTATACCATTTCCCCTCAAAAACAGTTTGCTAATATTATTCATCTTCCGTACTGTGGCAGTCCTGTGTAAGTTGTATTTAGGAAGGAAGTAGGAAAAGGGATTAAAACGACACTGCTGTGAATATGGAGTGAGTCAGAGTCTGTCTACAGATGTCTGAAAATCTTGGCTGGGTCTAGCCCAGCAGCGGCCCACAGTGAAGAAGTAGAAAGGGCGGGTTCTGTTTTCATAATGGCTTCTTGGTGGCCTGTTTGTTAAATACTGCAGTTCCATCAGAATTAAATTTGAGGGCAATTAGGTGAAAATTGAAAAAAGTTTTTAAATGTTTAAATATGCCTGTGATAGCAGAACTGAATGCACCGATTTGAAAAGCCAACAGCACGGGCACCTTCGGTGGAGCAGCTGCACGTGGAGCCCGGCTCCTGGCGGCTGGAGGCTGCGAGTGAGGGACACGCCCCGAGCCCGGACTCCAGGTGGTTGGAGGCTGTGAGTGAGGGACACGCCCCGAGCCCCCCACCCCTGGCGGCTGCCTGCAGGCCTCG